AGCTCTTAGTAAGAACCACATTTAAATTATTCCATTCAGTCTTATAATGGTAAAGGTAAATGGTAAAAAAAGATGTAGAAACTCTGGAAAGAGTGTAGGAAAGAGCAACAAAGATGATTAGAGGATTGGACACTAAAACATGAAAAATGGCTGCAGCAATTAGGTATGTCTAGCCTAATGAAAAGAAGAACTGGGGTGACATGACAGCAGTGTTCCAATATTTGAGGGCCTGCCACAAAGAAGAAGAGGTCAATTAATTTTCCAAAGCATCAAAAGGCAAGACAAGAACCAATGGATGGAAACTTATTAAGAAGGTAAGTAATCTAGAACTAAGGAGAAATTTCCTAACAGTGAGAACAATTAACCAGTGGAACAGCTTGTCTTCAGAAGTTGTGGGTGCTTGGACTCACTGGAGTCTTTTAAGAAGAGACTAAATAGGCACTTATTTTGAATGTCTCCTGCTTGAGTAAGGGGTTGAACTAGAAGACTTCCAAAGTCCCTTTCAATTCTGTTATTCTGTTATTCTGCTAGATGATATAGTAATGATGGCTTGTTAAAAGAAGTAACCATGTCTGTATTTAAAGCATACTTTTGTCCAATGAGAGTTAAGTATGTGTAATAAGAATAGATTACAAAAAAAGAATGTATGCAAAACAAGAGATGGTGTTTAAAATAAATAGGTGCTGAAGGAATGTGGAATGAATATAAAAATGAATGATTGCTATGAAAGAAATAAGTTGTGGTGGTTTGTTAAATAGAAAAAATGAATGAGGATTGAATTACAAAACAAATATATGAGGAAAGAAAGCATAATGAAGAAAACCTGGAAGGCTGTTTTGATTGTAATTGTTAGTATCTTGAAAAAAGACAGAACTGGATATTTTAAACAACAAAGATATCATATGGACCTGTATATGTAAGTGATAGAAATAATGTTTTACAAAGACATACAATTATGAAGAAGTAAATGATAGTGGTGTACATTGTTTTTTAGTGATAAATCTTTTTTTTCTTATCTCTAAATTTACTATTTTTCTTTCCTTTGCGCTTTCAACTTAAAGTTGTTTAGACTGAAATGGAATACCATGACGATTATGTATGCATATATGAAAGAAAAGTAAAAATTACAAAAAATAATGCCAACTGTTAACAGCACTAAGTGCTATATTTGAAAATGTCTTGTATCTGGAATAGTTCTGAAGTCCATCCTTCCTCCTGCCCTCCCACCCTCCCTCCTTCCCACCCTCCTTTCTTTCCAGTGCACATACATGTTTTTCATATGTATTTTTTTCAGTAACTTACTCAACCAAGCATCTTGTTGAGGTCAGAAAGGTATTAAAAGTAGTTCAATTTTTTGTTGAAGAGTTGCATCTGCTTCCCTAAAGAATAATTATTTTACAACCCACAAATAATCTTTACTTTGATAATTTAGTCTTTGCAATAGCTTTTAAGCAATATTTTATTAATAGTATAATAATGCACTGCCAAATACATATCATAATCTAATGGCATACTATCTTTTAAAAATGAAATATGAAACATCTTTTTGCACTCATCTTAAAGCTGTTATTATTTTGATTGATGTACTGCCTTCCTGCAATCATTTTGCAATACTCAGTAATGTGCTTGGCAACTGGCTCACAATGATGCTTGTTGCAGCAACCCATGATCATGTGATTGCCATTTGAAACCTCCCTGCTGGCTTCCCACAAGCAAAGTAAAGGGGAATCTAGCAGGAGATTACACATCGTCATTTCCATTTAGACTGCTTTTCATCCACTGCTTTTTTCATGACCAAATTACATATCTTATGGCACCTGCCCATGATGTCTGCCTACCTGCCCATCCCTAGCTCTTGCCTAGGAATCTTGTCTATTATCACATCACAATCCTGTGACATCTTTGCTTAATCATCTGGGAATCCTGGAGTTATGATAGCAACTGGGACTGTTATCTCTAAGTTATATGGTCACATGACATCATATTATGAATGTTTTGTTTAGCAAAGGGAATTATGGCCCCAACTGCCATCATAACTCAAGGATTACCTCTATATTATTCTGCTTTATTGTAGATTTTTATAAATCTTATAAATATTCAGCTAATAAGTACCTTTTCTTTCTAAGATATGGAAATGATTTTAAGGCAATCTTTCCCAGCACGATATCCTCTAGTCTAGATATTTTGGATAATATTGCCCATCTCATCAATCCAAGCAAAAGTGGACAATATTGTGGCATAGTGAAACTATATAACCTTGGAAGACACCAAATATTAATCAGAAATAGTCTGTGCTTTGAACTCTGGTTATGTTAGGCTGGCAGGATACACCAGTCTTTATCATAAATGGTACTAATTGAATTTAATCAACAGTTAAGAAAAGGAGACTTGTAGATAATCTTTTATATGTTTTGAAACATAAAAGAAAGCTCAGAAATGGAAAACAGAATCTAGATTTTCACAATAGACAAGGCAAGCAATTTTGATTAATAATAATTTGAACTTTGGTAATATGATGTTCAGCTGACTATCTTAAAATGGCTCACAAAAGGAGTATAACATTATAGACAATTTTTCAATAAAGTTTTCCAAATAACATTATAGACAATTTTTCAATAAAGTTTTCCAAATGCCATTTTTTTCTAGTTTTAAATCCCAAATTAGTTAAACTTGGAGTACACTCATTGAATTACTGGAATTTGTTGATTATAAATATTTTAAGTTACACAAGTGTCAATGTATCTATCCACTAATACAGATCTCATCCATAGTCTTCCTGGTGTCAGATAAATACTTTAAAAAAATCATGTAAAAATAATGCATGATTTTTGTGCCCCATATCTTGTTTTTCTTAGTTATTTTAGCAGGTTTTAATATTATGTTTTTAGTATCCTGTTGCTCTATTTAATGATATAGCCCTTCAGTAGCTTGCCAAGTAATTTCTATAGTTGGATATCTGAATCAATAAATAAAGGAATACAGAAATTTAACAAGAATTCCTGACATAAAGTCCTAGCAATTGGGAGGGAGGGAGAAAATAGCATATTTAGAAATTAGAAAAACTGAAGGCAAGAAAGGTGATGTACTCTCACAGCATCAGTTTGAATAAGCAAAGGACATATTTTGTACTAAGTATTGCTATGATATTTTGGAAATAAGAGAATTCCCTCAACAGATTGTGCAAAGAAGCTCTTAGTCTCTTTACTGGTAACATTTCTGGACTGGACAGAGTATTATGTAGATTTCCCAGTCTTTTCTATGTTAATTTTTCTCCAGCAGCCCAAAGGCCTTCAGATAATGCTGTGAGTAACATGATTGCCTATTGTGTCATGCTGAGAAATGATGATTCATATTGCCTAGTGCCAAACTAGTCCGTGATGCCAAGAGCTCTTGGTAATCATTGTAAATAGTTGACAGTTGGATAATTGCCTTCTTTGCAGTTCACTCCATCTGATCCTTTGAAATCTGTGCTATGGGTTCTGTTAACTACTGTGATGTTGAAATGAGCATATGGGAACTAAAAAGAGGAAATTAATTACTCTTCAATTATTTGTAGTATTTGTTAAAATGTAGGAAACATGCAACCAATGAATGTAGCCAGGTTCAGCTATTGAAGTATTATAATGGTGTAAACTAGCAATTGTCAGGTGTTCATTAATATCAACATACATAGGATTCTTAGGTAGATCAATGTTTAATCATTCCTAACCTAGAGTGAGAGTCGAAAGCCTGAGAAAATATCTTAAGTTAGCTACAAACTGGAGTAAATCTATGTCTTATCATAATTGAGGAATCTTAATCTTAACTTTGTGGTCTTCTGCTAATGATGAATTTACATCCATAAAGCTTTTGGCATGTATCCAAAGAGTTATTTCTAAAGATCTTCACCTGGGCCATGGCCAACTTCTGAGTTTTGAGCCATTTGGAATGGGGCCACAGAAGTTGTGGGTGAGTGCATGAGCAGTGACTATTGTGGGGGCATGTGCTCCATTTCTGCAAGTGGTGGACATGGAACTATCCCCTTTAACCCCTGTCCCTGCCGGTACACAAGCCTGGAAAGTTTGGCAAGCTCTGTTTGTATAGCCATTCTTGGCAGTTAGGTTATGCTTATAAGAGGGCTGATGTTGAGCAAAAAATAAAACAAGTATGAACTTGTCTTTCTAAAATTAATATGTGTAATAAATGCAATTGAAATAGCAATCCTAAAATATATTTAGGTCCAATGTGACTATATATATTTATTATGTAGTTTTATTTTATATCCAGTTCCTCTCATAGGACATTCAAAATAGCTCATTCTCATATATTGTTATAAATTGATTAAAAATTCTATACATTTGCCACTACTAATAAATAATCGTGTTTCACATAAAAGCCTGAAATGAGTATTAATAATTTCCTACAAGTAGGATAATGACAGCTGGGTTTTTAAAAATGTTCAGTTGAATTTTTGAGATTAAGATCTGGCAGCCATGTTTGATTTTAAATTTGTGGAGCTTAATTGTAGTTAAAATATGTGGAGAAAAATATAAGATTGCCCAGTGAAGGCTGAAAAACTTAGAGGCTAGAGAGATCTTTGTGATTGTTGGGAGGGAGTGATGGAGGGAATGAAATAACATTATCCTAGACAGAGGTATGGCTGACTGCCTGAAATCCTGAACAGAAGTGTCTGTGCTGCAGCATTAATTTTCTTAATGGTAAAAGCAGATGATTTTCTTAACTGATTAATGTTCCATGTTCTACTAAATAAACAATCCATAATGTTCTTTTCATCCTTCTGACTGTACCAAAGAAAAGGAACTCAAATAACTTAAAATGCTTCAGTAAAGATTAACTATTTTGTATCCCAGTTTAATGTGTGCAAATTAATGTAAACTACTAATTTCTATATTCACATAAGTTAAACCTATAATCATTAATTAGTATATATTTTATCCAGTAGGAGATTATTTCACAGTGCTTTAAAAATTATTTGTTCTTTATGTCCTTTCTCCTTCCAGGTCATCAGTTTCTTCCAATTGCAGCACAGGATCTTCCATTTGTTTCAGTGTCTGGATATTTGGAAAAGCGTAGAAAAGGTAAACTAAAAAGATAGAAATAATGTTTTAAATTTTTATAGTAGTTGCAATCATTTTATTTCTGGAGGCAAATGATTCACTTATTTTGGAAAATATTGAAAGATTTTAACCATAAAGTATAGGTGGAAATATAATGAACATTTCCTACTAGGAGTACAGCTTCAGTATATCTGAGCAGTGTGGACAAGAGAAGTTGGTTGTTTCTGTTTTAATCCCTTGCCCCATAATTCAGGGATAATCAAAGTTTTGGAAAGTAGGAGGAGGCGTTGCCACCACATAAGGTAAGAGCGGCTGGCGTCGCTGAAAGCCAGGCTGAGTGGGGCAAGTGAGCTGGTGGTCCCCAAGAGGGGTGGGCCAGCTTGTGCCCAGAGTGGAGCATTGGTCAAAGGGTGGTGTGCCAGCAGCAGGCTGGGCAGCTCGCTCCTCCACAATCCTGCTGGAAGTGTCTCTGCTGAGCCCTGCTCTGGCTGCTTGAGGGGAGGCAGATGGAGTCCGTTTTAAGGTCAGTTCCAATGCCCATGCCAAGGCTGCAGCAGGTGAGGGGGGAAGCCGGTGCCCTTTGCGCAGATGGGAAAGTGGAGTCACCCACCTCTTGGTGCAGCCCATCTTTCCTGCGCAAGAGCCCCGGGCTGCCCGACCGAAGCAGCACATTTTGTGGCGCCCTTGCCGGGGAAAGAGGGCTAGTGATCCGGATGAGAAACTGGGCTTTGGGGCATCGGTAGACTAAAACGCACCAAAGAGTTGGAGACTTGGTGTTAAGATTTTCCTGCAAAAAAAAATAATAATTCCAGATGAGTTCCTGGGATAAGGAGAAGGACTTAAGGCTAGATTCCTAGGCTAAGCAAGACTGTGTGTGGGATAAGGTCAGCAAGCTCCCCCCTCCACCCTTCCCTCCCATGTCTTTTCACCTCATGTTAAATAGGCCCAAATTTGGGGGGCAGGGCTTAATTTAACGACATGTGCACAAAGCAGTGCTGGACCTTCCTATGGGGGGGGCATATTGTTGGAGAAACACTGTAGAAATCACAACTTACTTTGTACTCAATACATGATCTCCTTAAACATTTCAATGTCTATCTAAAATGTCTGAATTTGTGAGAGAAATGTATCTGGGGGCAGTTGCCAAATCTGGTGAAGAATAACTTACTTTTGGCACTCGTTTATATTCACATTTGCACCAGAATATATCTTTTCTATTGCATACCCTGAATTGTTTGTTTTGGTCTGTTTATAATTAAAAATCTATGTAAATTATTTTAATTGCAGATCACAGTTTTCTTGTCTTTGAGTGGCAAAAACGTTGGTGTGCTTTGAGTAAAACAGTCTTCTACTACTATGGAAGTGACAAAGGTATTGCAAAATATAGGGACTATTTTGAATCCTGCTTAATTGATATTAACAGTTAACTTGTATTGCAAAATATAGGGATTATCTTGAATGTTGCTTAATGGACATCAGCAATTAAATGTTTACAGGCCTCAGAGGCCTCTCTATTGTTTAATTGCAAACCGGATTTTCCTGGTTTCATATAATTCTCCATGTGTTTCCAGATGGTGTAAATATACTGTCTTGATGAAATGTTCTCTTATCTTCTTTCCTTTGGAATTTTATGTGGGCCATTTTTTCTGAACTTTAATCAGCTTTGAAGGTGATACAGCATTATTTTGGTTTAGTTTCGTTTGGTAATTCTTCCTTCTCCCACCATCACCACCCCAAATATGATTTCAGTATTTTGGATCTGTTAAATGTCATCAGGTTTCATTTGCTTTCAGCTTGTATAGGAGAAACCACTACAAGACATTCTGTATTGCTGTATAGATTTATAGTTAAGGTTTATTTCATTCCATAGTAAAACATTATTTTTTTAACGAAAATCCAAGTGATGTATCATATAGCTGTACAATCTGGTAAGAAAATGTTTTGGAATGATACATATAATCTGTCCAATGTCAAACGAATCAAAGGAAAATTTATTTGCTTATGGCAGTTTAAAATCTGGATGCTACTGAAAACTTCAAAACAGTTGAAATTTGTGTTACAAATACAATGTGGCAGGGTTCATCAGGGAGCACAATAGATGCTTTCCTTAGCTTACTATAGTTGTTTAGTTTCTTCCCCAACTCTCCAATTTTCTGCCATTCACGATTTAATACTTAATAATTAAGGACAGCACTGGAATCCACATAACTTCAATACTGTTACAGCCATTTCAAGTCCCAGGATGTCAGACAAATAAATCAGTAACATTTCTTTATAAGCCATAGGAATTTGGACCATCCTCAGGGGTAATCTTGGAAAAAGCAACATCCAACAGTCTATAGAAATTTATTGCTGGTAGATACTGTCCATTTTTGAGATACTGTCACTGTAGTTTCACAGTTCCTTTACTTAGGAACACTGTTTTGAGCCTGTTCTACACAGCAGTGAGAAAGTGAAAGAGAATCAGAACAATTATGTTATATCAGGGATCTCCCCAGTCCCTGGGCCACAGATAGGTACTGGTCCATTGCCTATTAGGAGCGGGGTCTCACAGTGGAAGTGAGTGGCAGACAAGTAATTGAAACCAAAACCATTCCCCCGCTCCCTGATTCAAACAAAAATTGTCTTCCATGGCACCAGGGAATTGAAACTATTCCCTGGTGCCACAATAGTTGGGGACTGCTGGTTTACAGCATATATCACCTCCTGTTATAATTTCCCCTTTTATCTCCTTAATGAGTGGACAGGCTGGTTAACTAGGGCTAAGATAGACTTTTTGAGATAGCTTAATTCATGATAACTGAAGGAGAAGGGTAAGAACAACATAATATATTGGTTTGTCTGGTTGATTTCATCCTTCTTGCCACAAATTTCTGTTATGGATCATGGGAACAATTAAACTAAAAGCAAGTGCAGCATGTTTAATGTCAAAACTCACTTCAGAAAATGTATACAATTAGTGAAGTCTCCACGTATGTTTCCATGTGGTTTAGAATATTATCAAATTTGTAAGAAATGTACTCCAAATTATTAAAAGACTATCAGATCACTCAGAAAACTGAAACTTGGTTTAGCAACTGTTCAACATATATGTCTTTGGAGTACTTGATATATCTGTAATGGGACCTTCAGCACATAAGAGTCAAAATGAATTGCCAATGAGGATTTGAAACTTAACCAATACATACACAACAAAGAATATATCAAACTTAAATACAAAGATTAAAAAAAAACTAAAGAAAATACATCAAAGAAAAAGAAAAAATGCAGAAAGTAAAAAAAGGGAAACTTTCAGATAGATTTGAAATAATAGTTTAATAATAGTTTAATTATGATAAAAATTACAAGAGTGTAATAAGAATCTTTCCTATGGGGAAATGCTTTGGTTTTGAATTCTTTTTTAACAAATGATAGGATGATATATTAAAGTTTGGACACTAAAGTTAACCATAGGAACTAAATATTACAATTAAAGGAGAAAAACACTTATATTTGACTTACTAATACTGAAGGAAGCAAAATATTTTAATATTGGACATATCAGAGGATATTTTTTAACCATGGATTCAAAAAATAGTAGTATCTACCTCTATAGATAGATTGTGTTTAAAAGATGTTATGAAAGAAGAACAAGTTTTACTCAACAAGATTGAGATTCATTTGAAAGTGAACTTAAAAACGACAGCCCACAAGAATGATATGGAATGATATGGAAAAAGATGCTGTACTAGAGAGACAAAATAAACCAGCTCATATCTTAATAATTAAAGGGGTTATACAAGTAACAAGCCAAGAGAATTACTTGGATAATTTTCCTATACTGAATTTATAAAAGAGACATGTTAAAGCTTTGAAAAATTTTCTAAGGAAAAGAAAAAAATGAAAAGAAATCAAGATTGAGGACATTATTTGAAGGGACTAAAATAAAAGGAAGGAATATAAACTTGATTCATTTGATCAATGTTAAAATATATTGACTTTTGCTGATCAGGATTGAAACAACTCTTTAGGATTGTTTATAGATAAACAGTATAAAAGACAAGATCAATTGACTGTATTCTATGAGATGATAAATTATTAAACTTGTTTATGCTTGTTGATAAAGGGCAAAATGTATAAAGAAGTCATTTCTTTATACATTTCTTTGTTCTTTATTATGCTTATATTTTTTTTCTTTTTTCTTTCTATTTTTTCTTTTCTGCAGTTTTGTTTTTTCTTTTGATTCTTTTTTCAGTTTGCATTAGTTTGTTTATTATTATTTTTTTGTAAATTTTATTTGAGTTTTCACAAAGAGAAAAAAAATACAAATAAAACATCTTTTTTGAAAGCAGCATAATTCCGGGTTACATTTCTTCGTACAGACACAAATTCAAGTTCATGCTCATTTTTATATTCTATTCCATATCTTATTACTATTTTACATTTTCTGCATAGCTTCTCCCCTCTTTTAATTTTCTCAATTTTATTTTAATTATCGCATCTCAGTTCAAATCATTGTATTTATATTTTTTGTCTGTCCTGTTTCAATTATCTATTATCTTTTCTCATTAAACAAAATTTCTCCTGTAGTTACTGATTGGAGTATGACGCCTTTATATCTTTTCCCTAAAGTTGTAAGATTCAATATAATACATAACTTCCATTTGGATTCTGCTTGGTACATTCTTAAAATACACACTATATTCTTAAAAAAAGAAAAAAAATATAAATGTATATAATTAAAACAACATTCCATTCCAAATCAATTCTTCATGAATATTAATATTCATTAAAGTCTTAACATCTTTAACATTACTTTTCAATTAAATATCATACTTCTATGGGAACAATTATAAGCTTTCCATAGTTAATTCCCCCCTCCCCTGTTCACTTATATTTTATAAAACATTAACTAATTAAAATGTTCCCGTTCCTTCCTAATTCAATTTTCTCATTTATTTTATTTCACTTATTTTATTCACAAACATTTCACTAAATTACACTAATTATTTTATCCCTCATTTTAATCATACGTTGTTTCCAATTTTCTAAAGTTATTTCTATTATTAATACAACAATACAATCTTATGTACCTTTACAGAATCCCCTTTTCAGTTAGATTTTCACCCATTATCTCTAAATAGGTCTTGTTTCTCAATATCTTGCTCCGGTCCTTTGTAACTTCTTTTCCTTTCCTTCTTCCCTCTCTTCTTCTTTCTCCCCTTTTTACCCCCTTGTCTCCCTACCTCTATTTCTCTCTTCTGTATTCCCCTTTTCTGTTGCTTTCCAGTATTATACTTATTTTTCAAATTATTTTTCTTTTCTTTGGTTGTTTTTGTAAGTCTTAAATTCTCCTTTCTCTTTCCCCCCTTTCCTTTTTCTTCCCCACATAAAATTACTTGTTCATTAAAGATGGCTTCTTCTTTGTCCCAGTCTTCTTGTTTTGCACTCTTTTCTTGTTGTTTCTCATAGTTCCAAATCTCCATTTCTAAGAATTGGAAAACGAAGCCAAAAAAACCCTTCCCTTCTTGTGCATCTTCTTTGTACCTTTTAAGTTCCATTTTCAATTCATCCAGAAGTGGTGCCATTGTATAAATTTTTAAACAACCACCTGATTGATTTTATTCATTCAAATATAATAACCAAAAATCCAAAGATCACCAAATAATCCAAATACACGCAAGCTGTTCCTTTTTTGCTCTTTTTTTCACTTTCTCTTCCTGGGGTTACTATTTAGTTGCAAAGTTTCAGTTAAAATGTATCTTTTAGAAGACTTGTTGAAGTTTTACTTTAGATTCTTTTTAATTCCAGGCAGTCTCCTCCCTCTTCCAGATCCTGCCTTTATTCTTTTTCTCTCCCTTCCTGCTTATGAAAAAGAAAGTTTTTAATGTCCAGAAATCTTTATTATCCCTTTGGCATTTTGTTTTATTTTCAGCTTAATTGCCTATTGATGTCAAAGTAGATTTTTCCGATTTCTTATTTAAGTCTCTTAGTTGTCAGTATAGGGAAGGAGAGAGGGGGTGGGGGGGAAAGCCAAACCTTTCCCTTTTCACTTTCCTTTGCTGCTTCCGAGTCTTCCTTGGGAGCGATGTTATTTTTTGTAAGTCTAAATTCCAGGGTACCTTGGTTGTTGCTTTTACAATTTAACCGGTCAGCCAAAACTTTCACTTCTTATCTTCTTCCTGCACATTCTTTTCCGGTCAAGTTCTTCTTTGTGGTGGCCATTTCTGACCACCGCTGCAACCGCCTCCAGGAAAGGGAGTAATGGCCAGCTGAGGAGGAGAGATGAGGCTCTCCTCGACCCTGCTGGCAGTCTCCCCCCCCTTCATCACCTCTACGGGGTGGCTTAGCCTTGAAACCAGCTCGGGGCACTCCAGCGGCAAGCCCAGACAGAAACTGTGCACGATCGCGGATTTCTGTCTGTCACTGAAGCCCTTCAAACCAGAAATTTCAGTTTGCATTAGTTTTTTGATCTTTGCAATTATAAAACTCCTGTTTAAAAATGAGTTTTTAAAACTCTCTTTGCCAATACACATTGAACAAACAACATAATAAACCTTTAGTTATAGCTTTTCCATAGTCCATTGCTTTAATCACTATGTGAAAACACCTTTACAAATATTGTTAACTGATCTGAAGTTCACTTTTTGAATTCCGATATTGGGACAGATATAACCTCCTTTGTTGGCCCATTGATTACCGAACCAAGAAGAGACACTTAATTTATGAAATACTTGTATTGCAAGTTCCAGGTTCCAGTTCTTAATTCTGTCCCTTCCATGAGGTATCAGTGTGTGCATTTCACGCTAAATAAGACCATCTGTAAGGATCATCCTATGGAATTCTATAACCAGCCTTTTCAGAAATGTTCTTTGTAGTTTCTTCTTAAAAAAGAGTTTTATCTTTCAACCATCATTGAATACACTCACACTAATGTTTATCCTTGCCTCTTGAATATTCATGAAAAACAAAATCTGAATAAATGATAACCTGGTAGGACATTTATTTTCAAATGAAATTCTATCTTTACTTTTCATCTACAACAGACAAACAACAGAAAGGTGAATTCGCTATAGATGGCTACACCGTCAGAATGAATAATACCCTTCGGAAAGACGGAAAGAAAGATTGCTGTTTTGAAATCGCTGCTCCTGATAAACGCATTTATCAGGTTGGAGTTTTTATGTTGTCTTGAAATTAAATTGATAAAACTGTTACTGTTCCAGTTATGGAGACATTAACATTTTGGTAAAACATTCCCTGACATGTTGGAAAAAGAGCTGGAGTAGGAGTGGGGGTGGAATCCTTTATTTTCTTACCTTGTACATTCATATAATAGATTTTGCAAAAAGATTGTTCTAATATTAAATTTTTCGATAAGAACACTCATATGTCATACTTATCTGCTGGCTCATTTTACTGCTTACATTTAAATATCTATTATCTAATAAAATTTGTCTGATTTCTTGGATGAATAATGTTGTAAAATAATTGAATAAAAATTCTTCAATGTTAAATATGTAGTGCATTGCTTAGAGGCCTAAGAGGGAAATCAAAGTTAAAAGTATCCAATGTGAGACCTATCAGCTAGGCATCAATGTGCAATGTAAGTTTAATAAGTTTTAAATATCTGAGATTGCAGTTGAAAGCCAGTTAATTAAGTTGTCAGGTACTGTGTTGGAATGTGACAAGAACATTTTTAAGAAAACTGTACCCAGCAGTCTAAAGAAATTCATGGGTGTCTTCTAATTGTCAAGGGCAAATTTTGTTCATCAGTCCTGGTTTTGACATTGATGAAGAGAAGCAGCTTTTTTTATGCACAGCTGCCAGCTGCTGATCAGAGTTCTAAATCCATCATCCTCTGCTTCAATTACGTAAATTTGTCAAAATTAACTGTACATTATAAGAAGCATCCTTGCAAGAAAAGTACCAGAAGACATGTAAAGAATTACTAATGTTGTCTTGAAGAAGTGACCAGAATGCTACTTTCTTGGCATTATTAATATAGTGCTAGTTATATTTTGATGCTCATGAATATTCTTCTCTAACATGAAGTTTCTGAACAGTTTACAGCTGCTACTCCCAAAGAAGCTGCAGAATGGGTAGAGAGGCTGAAATTTGTATTACAAGGTATGCCAGTTGCTAACAAGACACTTCGCCTAAAATGCATGTTATATATCAAAGTTTCCCTGTTTCTGTTGGTCATGTGATTACTATGTTGTCTTTAATAGTGTATTTTATTTTTCATCTGTGTATATTTATGAAAGATTAAGGAATCCTCTCTATATTTAGGAGTAAATGCCATTGTACCTAGTTGACACCCCTTCCAAAAAAGCTAATTTAAATGCTAGTACTGATTGTATGTGAATTGTTTAATAAATACAGTTAGAAAGAATGCATTGTATTACTTTGATATGAAAATGGAAGGATGTGAGTATGTATTTTGCCCTAGAGAGTTCCTTGTGAACCTACCTGGCTAGGTTGATTGAATATCTTTTTTGTGTTTTGCGTTTTTAACAGACATGGGATCTCCAACTATTCCAGAGGAGGAATATGATGACATTGAGGAAAATTCCATACCTCCTTCTCAATCAGGAGTAGCAACTATTTTTGATGACATTTATGAAGAGCTTCCAGGTATTTTTGTTCAAGTTGATTGAAAGGGCTGTAAAAGTTGCTGATTATTCTTTGGTGGTAGCAGGTAGAATCTAAACAGATTTCACTAATCTGGTGCCTTCCAGGCATATATTGACTAGCTGGGAATTCTGGGAAATGGAATACCAAAATTTAGAGGATGTAAGGTTGGAAAAGGTTTTCTCTTAGATATGGGAACTGTATGTAAATCCTACCTCTTGGACAAAGTAATATACCTCTGCCTCAATTCTGTATAACATTTGAATCCAGATATTTGTAATATTTAGAGTAACAGTAGTAACAATATTTTAAAATAAAATGTTCATATAAGGGTATTGACATTACACAGAAATTATAAAAAACATAAGATTATTGACTCAATAATTTTTCAGTCAGAAAATTGATTCACATATTGCCTGAGACTAACTGCTTTATTTGGTCTTTTTTAATTTAGTATATAGTTTTTAATCATATATTCTTCATTCTTTCTATAAATATTCCTTGATACATGAGATTATGCTTTTAAAGGAGTGACGGTAACTTGCTTTGTTTGCTTTTAAAGAGTATCTGCTGATGAATAATAAATAAACGCAGTGAGCTATACTTGAATTTTTCTACATCCATCTACAGAAACTTGATTATTCCAAGTGGTTTACTAATTTTTTTATTCCATCTAGTTATGGCCAAGATTTCTCCTTCTTGACAGCCAAATGTAAATCTCATAAAAATATTCTTTATGGCACAAAGAGATGAAATTCATTGTGGTGAAAACAAAATGGCAAGAGAGGGTTCATAAGGGTATAAAATCACATGGAAATGAGGTTTCTCACTTGAGGTTGTATAGAAATGAGATCTGAAATAGAGAACTAAAGCATTTCTATACTAAATGTAATAGGAATGAAAACACTGGTCTATGAAAGCACTGGTGTTATCAATCAGAAGCTAAGTGATACAGTATAAATTACATAATGCATGTTTACATAGTAGATATTTCCAATCTTTGGAAAATGTAGTTTGTATTAAATTTAGCACACTGTATAAGAAAAGGCATTGTTTTTGACAGATGGCTTTAGGAAGCTGTATACATTTTGGACTATTCTGTAACAGTTCAGTTTGTAGCTTATGAAGACATGTCAGTCAAGGGATGTACAAATTACATGATGCAGGACAAAATTGGAGGAGAGAGGCCATGTGTTCTTGTGGTTCCCCTTCTGGAATTAAGAATTGGCATTCTTTTATGTAGGCAAATATTACCAACTTATTTGCTTATTCAAGGATTTCTTTTTTCCTTCTATTCATTCCCATTTCTCAGAGACTACCTGGACAGTCCTTGCATTTTTGTTGACAAGGTTTTTCAGAAGTAATTTGCTATTGCTTCTTTCCGAAGGCTCAGAGAAAGTGACTAGTCACCCAGCTGACTTTGTGCCTAAAGTAGGATTGGAAATCACTGTTGCCTGATTTCTAGCCTGTTGCCTTAGCTACTGTCCCAAACTGGCTCTCAATTCAATTTTATATTGAAGTTGCAATTCCATGACACTCTCCCAGTAAATTCCGTGATATTTAACGCAGATTTATACCTGTGTAGATATATATTGGATGTTTTATAAGTCTCTTGATGAGAAGCATGGAGCTGATTATGGAACTGATTATGTGAAGTAAAGACTAAACTATTGATTTCTCTTATCCCTTAAATAATCCTATTTTCCCAGTTGTAAGGCATAACTAATAATGTTTATGCTATGAATGTCTTTCTATTAATTTATATCCCCAATAGTATGGGAGTCTACTGTCTTTGGTACAAGTCCCTTGCTTTTACTTGTGCACTTTGCTATTAGTAATTTTGCAAACAGACTATCATTGGTTATGTTATATTTTGCTTCATTTTCTGACAACTAACAGCAAACTACATGTAGATCCTTTCAAGCCTAATTTGGTTGTGAAGAATTTGCTACCTCCAGAGGATTTCTACTTCGTAAAGTGCATTGCACACCCAGCCTCCTTAATGTTAAAACAAGCAGTGGAATTCCTTAAGGGAAATTAAGAAGTAATTTAGGTTGGGATGTGATTGCATTGGTGTGTAAGAATTGCACAGAAGTGCAATACCAAAGCACAGTTACTAATCTACACCTATACACTGCAATGCAGTCCAAGATTGTGAAACTACATATTTCTAGTATCACCCTGGGACATTGGGCTTTACTGAATTTAATCAGGTGTTTGCTGCAGTATCGGTTTTAGTGCTTTACAACTGACCCAGATCCAAAAAACAAAAAAAACACAAATCCACATGTAACTAATTCTGCACACATAAGAGATCCCTGTTCCTTTCCCTCTTAAACAGCAGCTTTATCCTCAATATCAATTTTAATAGAAGAAAGTTCTAGAAGAAGTCACTGATATGGCTTATGAGAAATAGCATGGCTTTTCACAGTCACCTCAAGCCCCTGGGTGTACTTAAGCATGTCTCTTCCATCTAATGTAGGTAGCACACTATTTCAAGTATAAAAATAATTATTATTTATTCTAGGAAGTATTCATAAAAATGCAGTTTTTATTTGTAGCAATGTATATAAGATCTCAACATGCTTTAGAACTCTTGTTCAAATAACACAGAAATTGTTTTCCTTCATTACAGATTAAATCAAATAAGATATACTCTGGGTTTATCTAAGTGATACAGAGCTCAGCTAGTATAATCTGCCATATGCTTGGAGAGAGCCCTTTAAGCTCTCTTCTTCAGAAATTTCCCAGGGAATATTACTTCACTGTTCATACTGACCTTTGCAAGATTTCAGACCCAAACCCGAAATGTCAGCAGTAATTGGACATTGGTATCAGTCACAAGTGTAATAAAACTTGCGACATTTGCAACTTAAGTTCATAAGCATGTTTGGCTCCTGAGCCTTTTGTGCCTGACAAATCTAGTGTATATCATTGCCAAAAGCAAGAGCTTTTGGGTGAGGTTGATATAACAAGCCACAGCTCAGGCCTACTTTCTAAAACTGAAAGAACGAGAAGGCAAACAGCTTTCCATTACTACACAGTTTTGGTTATTTTTTTATAAGCATAAGATGACATGTTTCCTTTATTTACATTTGGGTCCAATAATGTTGGCATCATGCTCTACATGGAAGCAATGCAAAGAACATGATGTAAGGACAGAGGGAGAGGAAGATAGGACATGGATAAATTTACAATATAAATGTACAATTTATTCACATACAGCCTTATCAACAGTAGCCTTTTTTACTTCGTTATATTACTTTTATGTCTTGCAGTCTGATACCCTGAAAAGCATTTGAAATTGTGGCAGGAACATATATTGCAGCAGCTTCATCTTAAGTTAGAGATGATTTTGGAATAAAATACTTCATTTGGCCAAGTATGATTAGAGATACAAAAATTGTCTCTGGTGCAAAAGCTCTCAATTTACCTGCAAAATAACATGTAGTAATAATCATAATATTTATACTAAAAAGAGAAAGTAGTAGAAAATATGAGAAGGATAATAATAATACAGCCAGACTACATAGGCAAGTATACGTAAGACAGGACTGTGGGAATTGGGTGTTTAGCAGAGTGATAGTATGATGGAAAAAACTGTCTTTGTGTCTAGTTGTTTGGCATCCGTGCCCCGCAGTGGCATCCTAAGAGGAAGAGCTAAAACAGTGGATGTCCAGGATGTGGCCAATGGTATTTTTCAGGATTTTCCATACATTTGCTGGTTCATTTGCTGAGAACTGATTCCTAAGCTTCTCTTTGCTGCACCAGATCTGCTTTGTTAATACACCTGGCCTGTTGTAAAAACAAATATATACCTTGGTACTCATTGTTAATTCATTCCAGAAGGTGCAATGAGTACCAAATGAGATGAGTACAATTTTTTCTCAAGGAATAACAGAGTGAGTCACAAGGCAGCTGACACTTAGAAGTAGTAGCTTGTGAGCTGAATATCAAACGATGAGTACTGGGACAATTTTTTTTGTCAAAATGCATTGAGTACCAAATTTGATGATTTTCAAAGTAGTCAAATGCCCAAGGTACCACTGTAAAAGAAACTGAAGCAACTTTGGGAGCAAACTAGTCTTATGTTCATATTGTTTGAATTATAAAAGGGAAAATAATCTTATTTTTTTAAATTATTTTTTAAATTATTTTTTAATAAAACCAGGTGATATTTTAGTAAGTAGTGCAGTTTTGTGTTTGATTTAAAGTTATGTGCAGAAGTTACAGTTCTCCCAAAGCTTTCAAGATCCCTCATCATTTGTTGCACTGGCTAAATGGGATTTGGTCTCCTTAAATCTTCTGAAGAATTTATATTCTCTGTTATAACACTGATTCTTATATGTTAAATTAGAAATTATTTTGGATTGTGCTGTTTAACTTTGAAGCAATTTGTCATGAGAAGAAGCAATCTATCATGTATTAAGTATTACATTTCCTCAAATTTTGCTTTGGGTTAAAATAAGTAATTTCATTACTAATACTGATCAATTTTTTTCCTGCTTTGAATCGGCCAACATGAAAGTAGTTTTGACATTATTGATTTGCAAAAAAATAATAATAATAAGATGGTTAAGTGACAGATGTTGGATGCTGAGGCAAGAATGAGAAATCCATGTTAGAGAATCTTGTTATGCTAGAGAAACAAAAGTAATTTTACTTATGTTATAATCTTTTCATTATTGACTTCATTTCTGGCAGCTGTTACACTTTATATATTTTGTTGGTCACAAAGGTGTTATGCGTCATGCATCCACAGTTTAATGTTTCGCTAGTAACTCGGCAAACAAAACAGATGTCTTCCATGACCATAGTTTGTGATTAGGAAGTAAGATAAAGAAAACATTCCTACACAGAGTGTACAGAACATTGTTTTCCCCAATGAAAGGTTACCACGTTAATATAAAATGATTGTATTTGTGTGACTTATATTATGCTGGTCTTTGAGAGAATTCTGTACTCAAAAGCCAATATCCAAATTACTGAAAAGATTTCAATAG